ATATTTAATATGATGTCTTCGGTTTCAGTACTTGATTCATTTAAAAACATATGGGTAGACGCCCTCATTTTTATTTATATACAGGGTAAATCAATAAACGTGCCGTCCTCGATATTTCATTACATATTAGAGGTAGAAAAAAGTCAAAGACTAAAGTTGTACGGCTTTTTAAGCTGCATATACAGAATTATATTCGAGTACACACAATGTGTTATTTTGAAGGGACAGCACAGAACTTAGTTTTTTTAAATACATTTTTTTAATAGAACACCTGTATTTTATTACTGCATCTTACTCTATTTATTGTTCTCCTTCTTTCAATATGTATGAATATGAACAAAAATCAAAATAAAATACAGTATGTTCTATTTGAAGTAACTGAAATATCAATACATATTTGAAAATTGTTAAATTTAAAATTTTTACACCCGTACATTAAAAGCAATTTGATTTAGACCACAATAAAACTCATATTTTTATTTATCTCTCCACAAAATATAGTACCCCGATTTTAAAAATAACCCTATTCCGATTTTTTTGTGAACCCTTCCATTACTAAAAAATTTGAAGAAAATTGAAATAACTTGGTAACATTGCAACCGAATTTCGAAAATAAGCTATGCACGGTTATAAAGCCTTAAAAAAGATCAATCAGAATAAATAAAAATTTATAGGATACTACTAAAAAAAAAATGTGTGCTATGCCTTAAAAACAGAACCCTCTGTATACTTTGAAAATATCATTTTAAATATGGTCTCTCACGCCCTGTACAACTTTAGTCTTATTAGATTTGTTTTCTCTATTAATGTAAATATATAATAATAATTAAATTTAATGAGCCGTTAGTGACTCACTCTGAATATCATAAAAGGTTAGAGGAAATTATGTTGGAAAATAATTACGGTATTGTCGTGTTGACCAATAATTGTGCAGAAATTAAAAATGGTGAAGTTACATAATTTCCAATAAGTTATTTTTTCGACTATTTAAAATTTTTTTAAAGTTTATGTACGTCATCTGACACTGTAATTCGAAAAAATCTGGGCAAAGTACATATTGAGTTTTGAATTCCAACTATGTTTTTAAGAAAGTACTACATTCAGTCCTCTTTGTGTAAGTTCATTATACAGTATATGTATAACTTTTGAGAATATTTATTTATGAATAGAATTTTTACGTTCTAGAAATTGTTTTGAACACACTGACATTACTGAAATTTATTTGAAATGGCCAAAAACCCCTGTTTGTTGTCTATCATCTCTGTCAATATTTATTAGAAAGGTCTCCAAAACTGCTGGACTGATTTTATATTTTGGTCACTTGCGCGCCGTGGTTAGTTTACACTATGTAGCAGGTGTAATTGCCAAAATAGTTATAGAACACTTGCGCGTAAATATGTGATCACAAGGGTTGTCATTGCCTACAGGTACACAGCTGATAAGAAGCTTACATTACAGCTCCCTGAGTTTCAGAGCAAGTCTAACAGTACACTACTTTTGCAAAAAGTGTTTGTTATAGATCTGTAAAAAATCAAATAGTTTCTTAATAAAGTGTTTTATTTTTAGAAGAAAAGTTTTACTGGTAGAAAATTTAGGAACAATAAATATACTTTCAACTCTATATATATTTAAAGATTAATAAATACCTGTGCAATTGTGTGAAAGTTAAGTTATTTCTCCGAGTTTTTATTTAAAGTGATACCCATGTAAACTTCTACGACCAGTGTTGCCAACGTCGCATAAATAAAATTTTTTCAAACATCTATCAAACTATCCGATTTTGTCCGAACAGTTGCCAATATGCGAATAATAGTTAAAATAAAATTGAAATAAAATTTTTATATTAAGTATTTTATTAACAAAATTATCGGGGCTTCTGTAGTATCCGCAATTAGAACAATTATCCGCCACGTGGCAACTCTAACTACTACAGGCAACAACTGTTTAGTGTATTAACCCTTCAAATTATATGTAAATTTTTCTGACCGCTGCGCGTAACTGTCCCTTTCTGACCGCTGCGCACAAATGTCCCATGTTCGGAAAATGCTAACCAAAATTTGTGTGTCTGCATCAACAATTTGATGACCTCACCTCAAAGTATTGCATGATAAAAGCTATTTAAAGTTTAGAAAATAACATACTGTGACACTTATGATCTATGAATCCGCCTTGATTTTTACTTTCCGAGGGTAAGCTAAGAAAATATTGTAACAGAATCCATCGGACAAACGTCTGCCTTCATGTTTGTCATTGCTCCATGACCTCCAGAGCACAACAAAATAGGTTTCCCGTTTCTGTCTGTTTATCTGCCGTCCGTCTGCCTCGATTTTTATTAGACTTATAGTTTCCGAAAATACTAGACCGATTGTTGTGAAATTAACCAAAATTTGTCTAATTATCACCAGTAACACCGTAATGACGTGCATTCAAATTTTTCATAAGAAATAGTATACTATTTAAATTTTATAAAACTATATACTCATCTTATAATTTTTCAAAGAAGAGGGAAAACAATACGAAATATAAGAATGTAACTAGTGGTGTAGATCATTTATTTTGTATATCGAAAGTCCCGGGTTCGGTCTCTGGCATCACCATTTTTTTTTCACTATGACTAGTATTATCTTTTTTTTCTAAAAAGCTGGATGTTTGATTGCACTTCAGGAACCAGGGAAGTTCTATCTGATAACATGAAACTTTTGTTTATTTTAACGTCTTCTTTAAGAGAATTACTACTGGAATTAATGACCTATGTATTGGAATGGAAAATGAGTAATTTTTAGATTTATTTTGGAATTTGAAATCCCAGATTTTATTTGAACCAAGTTTGGCTAAGAACGATTTTTTTTTTTTCAATTGGAAAAGATGTATGTATTATAATAATGTTTATTTTTGTACGTGTAATTATAATACTATTTGTATTTATTGTTAATTGTTCATTTCACTGTACGTCTTAAGAGCATTCCTTCTGCACTAAAATTCTTTATGAAATTTTTGGAATTCTTGTTAACGGTTTTGTACACATTGGAATTACTAGAATGTGTATGGAACTATAGAAATATATTTGGAATTACTGTAATTTTTTCGGTATCTACTGGAATTATTTCCTACTTGGTGATATTTAGATCCCTATTTCCCCAATTTGTTAATTTCTAGAAGTGGTGAAGTAACTCACCAAAATTACAGCAACTTCCTAATATTGTTTGGAACGACTCGGAAATAAATTTACACTCTTTGCAATTTGGGTAACGATCAACCTCGACCTAGCACAATACATTTGAGGTTGCACATGACTTATTGAGGTTATGTGTAACTATCTTGCGTTTATTTGAAGTTTATCCGAATTATATGTCATCTGAATCTTATTCAAGACTATGCTAACATTTAGGTCCTTCTTTAACTGCCAACGAAAACAGCGAACCAAATGCAGTAAAAGAAACATATTATTGTAAACGCATGTTGCGTCAAATTTAGTCCATAATTTCTTGACACCTCTTCATTACGCCTAGAGCTTATTTGAAATCAGAAGTACATCGAGTGGGAGGGATGAATGCGCGAAGCGCGAAAATGGGCGAAGAGTATGGACGAGTCAGTGGCGGACCATTAGTGTTGTTATTGGGGTTTGCACGTTGCTCGCGTTAGTATGTATAAGAACGTACAAAACAGGTCCGAAGAGTAAAGGAAGTTCGTTCTCGACGCCTCTGATTCTGTGAAAGTAGTGCTCATGCGCACTGAATATTGTTTCAAATACTGGTATCTGCGCTCTTTTATTGCTGTGTACTTCTGCTTTCAAATAAGCTCTAACAAATTATTTTCATGGGGTATTTATAACCTGATTAGTCTAACAACACAGGCAACTACGGCGAATTCCAAAAATATCCGGCCACCTATTTCCAAAAATTGTAGTCATTTTAATAATTCGAAATTGTTTGAAAGTTGTAAATTCGAATTCAATATTGCCATGTCAATAGACGACTCTGAAAGTTTGCCTGTTGTTTGAATACATTTTCTTCAATAATATTTAGGAAACACAAATTTCGTTAGTATCAAGATTTTTTTTCATTTATTTGCAGAATTTCTATTGTACAATTTATTGCTTACGCAAGCTGCATTCCAAAGCGATTCAGTCGTTCATTTCCAGACTCCATAATACAAATCTTATTTGTAAACACGGATTAAATTTGGTGTTGTCTTAAACAACACTCTGCGGTCTGTTTTTCCGACTCTACCATGATTTACGCACACATACCATATTATTAAAACGAATAATTAATATCGTCAAATTGGGGAGTGATTTATTAACGCACAAAAGAAAAGCAGATGTCCAAATCAGCAGTAACAAAACAAGGTTGAAAGCCATCAACTGTCACGGTAGATTTCTCGAAAATATAAATTTATAACGTACCTTCACCCACTTGGCACTTCAATTACGTTTAAACTATCATAATCCGTGAATTTTTCTGTCTTGTACTATCCAATTCAAATGAAAACATGTGTCCCTCAAAAAAACTGAACAAACCGAGCTTCTAGATTTTTTCCGCGGGAACTGCTTTTCACATGCCAAATGCCAAATTTCTCGAGTTTAAAAATAAACACAAAAACAAAATTCGTCCCACTAAATCCTTTTTAGAGTGTGGGTCAAGAGTAGCATTATTTTGATTCGCAGAATCTGCTTTTTCGTCACAGATCTTTTAAAGCTGAAACACTTTTAGTTTTGGGTTTTGAGATCGATCGAGAAATTTAAGAACATGGTAACAGTTTTTGTGTTTATGTTTTAAAACTAATTCATATTTTCACAGTTAATGAGACCGAAAAAAAATGCAGAATCACGAAACTGCTGTTGAAATAGCGACTTGTGATAGAACTGTAAACAATATCTCATTGTCACCTGTCAAGCAAGTGCGACAATTAGCACATAATTAAGTCTAAAAACATACTAAAGTAGGTGTCTTAAAATAAAAAATATTGTTTGTTAAGTAGGATTTTAATTACTTGAACTTGCCACTTGTCGTCTGCTAGATAATCCGTTACTTTTCTCACTTGCGAAAATTATAATTTCTGTAACGAAAAACAGTTTTTGTTGACTCCTACTTAATCTTAATCGTCTTACATTTAACAGGATCCGTCTATTGAAATTTTAAGCCAATTGACCAACTTGCACCGCCAATTTAATGTTTCACAAGTTCTGCTAAATTTTCTTGCGCTTCCACCAACTTTAGAGAAAACTTGTGCTGAAGCGTGCTCTATGCATCTAAAAAAAAACTAATTTTTCGCTCTTCCTGTCTGCATTAGTTAACGAGATAATATTGAAAACATTTTCTCACCAACTAAAATCACTAGGGAAATGTTTTCGCACAAGATTTAGTTAGTGTAAAATAGGTCAAATGCACAATCGGACGCACAGCAAACCCAAGATTCGACTAATTCACAATTGTGTTTTTGACACTTGTTAGATTAGTGGAATACAATAGCGTACATACGGCGGGAGATAATTTATTATGGCGTGTATTGTACTAAATTTATCGGGCGAATGATAATAGATTCTCACCCATTAAAGTCTATCGACTCGAGACGGAGTCGCTACACGTTGGCACATTAATAAAGAACACCTATAATACTCGTACTCATTAGAACTTAACAGCTCTTCGAACAAAAAGCATAGGTATTAACATAGACGAAGAATTCCATTGAAGCGATGATTTATGGCGGCATTCAAAGCTCCAATAATTATTGAAGTTAAAGGTTACCATGTAGCCGTATAATCTGATTCTAAATAGAAAATCATAAATTATATGTCAGTGAAATTTATAAGGGCCACGCTCTCTGAAAGCAAACTTGTGTCTGCGGCATACATCACGGCAGTTAACTAATAATGGGTTATCAAATTATGTACTATATTTAGATAATACAATTATTCGGAGACTACAAAATTATCAATTTAACTACGACTATGAAATACTGGTGACAGCAATTTATGGCTTGCCCGTACGCATTTGCTTGATGAAGTCAACCGCGGAGCTCAACTGTTTAATTATCCATATTTATAATTTACTTAAACAATACTCATCGCGTTTTATTATTTGCTAATTGGGTTTAATCTATTGAAAAAATCTCTTAACAACGTTAGCGAAACCATAAATTAAGACGTGAACAGAATAGCTGATGCGTAAAACTAGTTTTCTTGTGTTTGTTATTATGGTATCACAGAAAATTGCGATATTCATTTATTATTCCTACCTGTCACTAATGTCGTTTAGCTAGCTTGGTTCCAGCCATTAACTAAAGACTATAATTAAAAGGCGCCTTTTGTAATTTGAATAAATTAAATGGAGGAAATTAACACGCAAATTTTTTCTAGTGACATTGGATTTGTTTAAACGGCGCGGGTCCTTTTTTTTATTTAATTAATTTCGACGAAAATTTTGTGCCTCAAGGATGTCTGCAACTTCTACCAGTTTGTATACTCATGACGTGTCTAATAGTACAGTTCATTTATCAGGCGTAATTAACCAGCTTCTAATAAAATATTCATATATCTCGTGAGTCACAATCGGATTTTGTTCAATTACAAATAGTGGTAGAATCACCCTGAAACAAATATCGTTAAGAATTCTGTAATATATTCTCCCGCTACACAAAATGAGGCAAAGGCAGGATGAGTCGTCACCTTAAAAAACATATTAGTACAGCTTACTATTTAATAAGCTGGCATTTCTATTTTGACACATCCAGACTACGATCTGCGCCGCCACATGCACTTTCACAAAGATCCTACGAATTTTATACTTTCAAATTTGTAATCATGTGGTGTTTTATACCATATGATTAAACAAGTATCTGATTACGAGATTTGTGATCAGCACACTTAAGTATGACACATACAGAGTTAATGCCTATTGCAAAAGAATCGGCTAAGTATACTTATATTAATCACGGGCTCCTATTATCTGAAAATTTTCGGTCAAAGTACACACACGAGAAATATTAATTGTATTAAAAAATTCAAAAAGTTTTATATCTTAAAAATCTGGGACTCAATTTAAACTAGAACATGAAGTCTGTTAATAAATGAATATCATAAACTAATAAATAGCTGAAGAATCTCTACAGGACAAAATGGAAGTTTCATTATCCCATAATTAGGCGTCATGTTGTGTCGGTTGCTTCGAGCACTAGAACGTTACCAGTTTTTTTAATTTAATAAGTTGTAATTCACAACCTCCAGAAATATCTATCCAGACTCGGAATCATTACTGTCTTTCTAGCGTAAATTGTCAAAAATGTCAAGCATACTTTTTTTTTAACTCAGGCCAACACATTTATTAAAAGCAAAAAATGATACATGGGATTTATCATGGTACTATTAAGCAATCCAAGGGTTTAACTCTATGCAAGATTCTTTATAAGTGTCTTCTCTATCGGATTATGTAAGATTACGAACTGGTTGTATCCAGTGAATCGGTACAATCAATTCACTTAAGATAATGGAAATAACCAGTTCATTATTAATTTTTTTATCTGTTGTGTAAATCGTGTAAGTAGGTATTCATTATTTTCAGTGTTTGCAGTTACCAAGAGCTGATGAAATATAAGTGTTCGGAACTATAGAAAACACAATTGTGCAGAGAGAATTAACAAGATAATGAAACAATAGTCACAAAAACGTAGTTGAACAGATTTTTAATGGAAAATTACAAAGACCCGACATTTAGCTGGAGAAACTGCATCACTCTCAGAAATTACTTTTGTATACTCACTTCCCACTTTTTTACTACTCTCCTCCGAATTTTGATAATATTTTCAGATTGTGTAAAGAAGGCAGATACTTTAAAAATTTTCATGAAGTCATAATGATCAAAATATTTCACTATGCACTGAGGCGGATTCATAAACCGTAGGTATAGAAGCATTCAATTTTATAGATTTTAAACATGATTTACTTAGCAAATTTTAAGATGACTTCATTACATTGATAGTAGAAATGATCCGATAAATTTTGGTTAGAGTCTATCTTATACACATTCTAGAATACCTACATCCAAAATTTCACAACAATCAGTTCAGTAGTTTGGGAAATTATCGGTCTAACAAACTAGCTAATAAACGATAAATAAACAGAAACGGGAGACGGACACTCTCATGCTGTATAACCGTAAAACATAGACAAGAGATGAGCTACATATTTGTCAAATGGACACTATTAGAATATTTTCTTTAGTTATACCCAGGAAGGACGAATTAACAATTCTTAAGGACCAGGAGGATCACCTGGTAATAATCTTGTATTAAATTTACGCACTTTGTGTCCTACTTTTTCTTCACTCAATTGAATAAGTCCCTATAAGAATGAATAAGGATTTTTGTCTCCTTAATCGTAGTAGCAACTTCCACTATACTCAAGGATAATTAAAATTATACTTCAATGATTTAAATTTTTGTGAAATTTAGATTCTGCTGTTTGCCAATATAAAACCCATTCATCAGTTCGTAGAAAATAAACTTGGCCATTAAAAAAGGGAAAGGGTGGGTGGGCGGGTCAATTTTTTTCATAAATTTAGATTCTACCATTTGTAACAAAAAGTCCACTATTTAGTTATAGCGAATAAATTTCGTCAACAAAAAAGACGGGGTGGAGGGGTGGGTCAACTATCCTCCGTAGTACAAAAACTAAATCGTTAATTTATACGTAACATCGAAATTCCAAGTATTTTTGTTTTCATGTTTTCCAAGGAGTTTTTGTAACTTTTTTAATGTTTTTGTTCTTTTTTTTGTCGTATTTTTGCCATTTTATCCTCTTTTTTTGGCATTTTTTTATGTTTCTTTTGTTGCAATTTTTGGATTGTTTTTTAGATGAAGTTTGTTCTGGTCTTTTTCGCTGTCTTTTTTTAGTCTCCTTTGTGGCCGTATTTTTCTTATGATAATTTTTCGGTACTGTTGTTACCCTTCTTCTGTAGTAATTATCTGCAGATCTTTCTTTAATTTTTTTTAGTCGCTTTTTGGTATTTTTTTAATGCTTTTCTTTTTATTTTTTTAATCGCAATTTGTTAATGTTTTCAGCCTTTTTTTAGTATTTTTTATTTATTTTTGATCTTTTTTCCTTGTTGCCTTTTTTGTTCTTTTTCAGTCCCATTTTTTTGGTCTTGTCTGTTGCCTTTTTTTTATTGTGGTTTTTTAGCCCCTATTTTTCTTATGGCAATTTTTTGGTCTCTTTGTTGCCTTTCTTTTGCAGTAATTTTTGTAGCTTTTTTTGTTGTCCCTTTTTATTGACTTTTTTTGTGGTCTTTTGGTTGCTTTTTTCTTGTACTTTTGTCAAACCATCTTTGTTATGTCTGTATTTACGGAATACATTTCCTGGGATCGAGAAAAAATGAGTCAAGCAAAGCAGCACTGAAAAGTATAACAAGTAGACAAGAATTATTTTATGAATGTTTGGATACCAGTAACAATTTATGCAACAAATGATATTTTGGTTATTTCTGCAATTTTCTCAAAATAGTGGATAATCAAATATAGTTTTTTTTTGGAAAAATGATAAAATTTATTTTTGAAAATTTTATTTATTTTATAACTCCTATAAGTAAAGCAATATAGATAATATAAGAAAAAAAGTGCCCCATGAGAAGAATCCAACCCGTAATCTTCACATTATTACCACTACGCTCTGACCAACTGACCTTGTTCAACGTTCCCCTTACAGTAGTATAAAATGTTTTAATTTTTTCTGAAAATGTGGATGATTAGGATAAAAATCAAGGCGGATTCATAAACCACAAGTATACTAGTATGTTTTACCACACAAAATTTTGCGGTAACGCGATCAGAAGGGACGCTCAGACAAATTGTAATTAATGTTTTCCTATCTACACGATATCCATAAAATGCATGTAAAATTTGACAACAACTGGTCTGGTAGTTTCGGATATGATCTGTCTAATAAAAATAAATCCTTTTAAGGCATTTCAATGATTATGTGTTGCCCTCGAACGATCACTTTGGGTTTAGGAAAAATATATCTACTAAAAAAGTTGTATCTTCTTTTATAAAAATGCTGCCCATAACGCCTTTCGATCTAAATAAGACATTTGACTGTGTCCCATAAAACTCGTGCTAAAGGTCGATTTTTATGATTTTATCCAAAGAAAATTGGTATTGTTATATCTGAATTACAACATATTCAATATTGTGTCCCGCAAGGATCCATTCTCGGACCTATGTTGTTCCTAGTTTTCACTAAATGATTTGCCTTAATACTGACTGCTGCAAAAAGTGTGACTCTGTTAGACGCGGTTGAAACGTGCCTCAAATATTAGACCCAAAACAAATACATAGTTGATTTCTAGCAAATAGACTGAAGTCGAACGAAAAACAAAACTATAAATGTAGTGTTTACACTGCATATACACAAGTACTAAATTTCTCGGCACTGTTATTAATTCCCGACTGTTGTAGGATAACCATGGTGTAATGGTTGTCAAAAAAATTAATTACGAAAAATATATATTTTTTAAGTCTCAGAAATATTGCTATTTCTATATCACAGCAAGTTCCATTTACCTCACTCCACTTATTTAGCCTTTATTTAGCGACGGCCATTACGAATTATTTGCCAGAAGTTATTATAGTAATCCTATGACGGTTTTGAAAATTAGATTTGTCACTTCAGCTCTTAAATAGTTTATTTTCTGTGCAAATAATAGTACTAAAGAAAGTTTAATGTAGCGCTTACATCTGTTCACGAAATTGCGTCAACCTATATTCAATTCCCTTTTCATCTTAAATTTATTCCGTACTTATTCTGTGGAAAAAGAAAAAACACAGTTTACACATAAAACAACGTTCGCCGAAACCCACACCAGCCGCGCCAACGTTAAAGAAACATTCCTCTCGACTCTTCTTTCGAAAAAATAAACAGCCGCTATTTTCCATCGCGATACGGTACAAGCGCAAGCACACCCCCGCAGGGACTTCCGTCTCACCTGGTAGGCGTCCGGTATGTTAACTGGTTCCCCGCTCTCGGCGACGTACCCGACAATGCCCGTGCCCCACGGTATCCTGATTTCCTCCTTCTTCTCCATCTCGGTGAGAGTACTCCTCGAGCAGACGTCGAACAGCTTGGAAACGAGACACCTGCCGCGAGGCGTCTGTCCGGGAGGTAACGGCGTGCATCCGCCACCTTTCTCGCCCTGAACGAGAAAAAGGGAGCCTCGGTCGGCGTGCAGCAGCGTGGATACGTTCTGGAGGATCTTGTGGCACAAAGACCGCACCTCGAGCTCGTTGCAGATGTCTTTCACCTGGAATGAAAAAAATATCGGTGAATAAATGTGTTGAAATACAATAACTATCCGGAAAACTGACAATCTTACATAACTATTGTCAATTTAGTTAAGAGAAGTAGAATGGCTTCCTTGATATATTTTAACTTTAGTACTTGCTACTTCCAAAAGATGGTAAAATTATTACATGAAATATCACAGTTTGATGTATTATTAAGTTTCTTTCTAGATTAACATGAGTTTTCACTACTTTCCACAATTGTATAAAAGTGTTAGTGTGTTAGGTGTTCATCCAATACAAAATAACGAGTTTCTGTGTCACTGGATTTCGTGTCAATGTGAACTGTCAGTGTTGAAGTTTAATTGATAATTAATTTTGATAGATTGATAATGCAGTGCCAAACTGAAAATTAAACCACTAGAAAGAACCTCACAATTTTTCAAATTAATTGCAGCATTCCTCCTGAAATAAAAGAGCGGAGTGTGAATTTGTATGCAGGAAATTTCTTATGTTGTACTGAAAGAAAAATCACAGGATATCATAAAACCATGTTTATTTATTAAAGAAAGCATAACTCTCCAATTAACAGCTACACCGTAGTGTATAGGTTTAAAAATCTAAAAGATGAGTTTCAGCTGTTATTTAACTGGAATTTTAAGCACAAACCAGAATGCTAATTTAAGACAATCATGCGCGCGGTCAAAAGCTTCAAGAGATAGTAGAAGGCAAAAAATAAAGATGAAGTAATCTGTAAAAAATTACTCAAAAAAAAAAAGTAAAAAACTGATTCTGCGAATTTTATTGTTTTATAGTGATCTTTTAAATTACAATTATTCTGTAAGACACTAGTGTACATCATATCTTTTGTAATTATCACAAATGAAAATATACTGGCCGCAAGTGAAATCCGAACACCCACAAAATAGGAATTTTTATTAACAAAATTTTGTAGAAAGGGAGAATAATACTTAATTAAGGTAAAATAAACAAAAACCATCTAAAACAAAACATAACTTTGAAAAAAACTAATAATGTGTGGGACCGCCACGTAGGCGAATGCATATAATACATATGTCTAATTTAATTTTTTCTGTTGGTTACGAATCTAGTTTTAATTTCTACTTCCCAGGCGTAACCTAAGGACGTACAGTCGTCGAGTTCATGGGGCGACTTGCCAGGTTTGCGTGTTCTAGACATTTCATGACCTCTAGAGTACGAAAAAATTGATCTCCCGTTTCCGTCTGTCTGTCTGTCTGTCGTCTGCGTCTATTTTTATTGGACACGTAATTTTCGAAACTACTGAATCGATTGTTGTCAAATTTTGTATGTATATTAGGCACATCATGTATATTATTTTTCAAAATGGGCGCGAACGTCAAGGACACGCAAAACCCAATAATTTACTCTTAACTGTGTAGTTTAGTATTTTTTTACACCTCCTTATTTTACTTTATCGACAATGCTAGTGACTGATCTGTCAGTTGAGACGTCAAGAACCCCATTAAATTTGAATCGTTTCTATGAGCGCGTTTTATCGCAATATTTATGATAGATTATGTTCTTACGGAGTGTAGAAGTTAGAAGAACAACTTAAAAGCACCCAGCAGAGATCCTAAAAGAACAGATTTATAAATATTACGTCTAGGGTAAATGCTATGGCAGTGACGAGAGCAAGAGGAATTATCCACCTATTTTTCAATATTCCTACCACTGTCAGTATAATCCAGTTGAACTGGCGCAGGGAGAGTGTAAACTATATTACAATAAACATATTCGAGAACGCGGTGGTCCTATTGGTGTTGTACAGTCCTTATGGCGGGAGGCTCTTGCTACAGTAGAGGCAGACAAATGGCAAAATTTTATTAGACATTGTGAACGACTGATCAGGGATGATTGGAAGCGTTTAATGGGTAATGCACCATATGAAGACATACCCCCCAATCAAATTTCTCTCGATTCTGATTCTGAATCGGAATGTTTTTCTAATAACTTGTCAGCTTGTCACTTTTTCATTTGGCATTTAATGTCAACAATAATCAGCATTAAGTCCTCAATACAAACGGCTCTAAAGTCCTTGTTATGTACAGCAGCAGTGTTGAAACATGAGAGTGAAAGCAATATAAATTCTGTGTTTTCTGTTATATAACATACTATTTAGTTACATTTTCTTTTGTTTACAATATTATAGACGTGTACAACAAAACGTGTTGTTTAGTGTAACGTCCGCGACCCTACACTTTTGCGAGGGTTGTGATCTTCGCTAACTACACTGGTAAGTTGTCGACCTTGAAATTTGCTTAAATTTTGAAAAGACATATAGATGGTATAACGGTAACCAAAATTTCGCTAATCATCCCCACCAACAATTTGATGACATTCGCTGATTATGTGTTGCATAATTAACACTACCAAAATGGTATGAATGCTACTCCTGGATTTGTGGTTTACGAATCTATCGTGATTTTGTTTGTCAAGGATTATATTTGTTTATTGTTTAATCCGTCTTGTTCGTTATTTTAAATTATTAATTTAAATCCTCTAATTTTTTATTCAACAAATTAAGAACGAATCACACCATTTTCTCGAAAATGTGAGAATTTTATTTAATAATGATGAAACAAGATTTATAATAATAATATACAGAATATTTTTTTTCGTACCAAAAGTAAAAATCCTTATTTTGCAGAAGTTTTGAAAAATACGATCCCACAGAAGTGTAGCGTGACACACTACCACTTTTAACAATATTTCAACATAGAATTAAAAGTGATTAAAAAGTCATGATTTTGTTTTGAAGCTACTTATTGTGGTAAATTTTATGTTCTTTTTATGATCCACGTTGGTTTTTAAAGTGTTGTAATAACCACACATTATATACTGTTTAATTAGAATTGTGTGGACTTTTTGCAAATTCAGTGATTATTTTAACATACTTAATACGATTCGTGTTGCATTAATTCTGTTGTTGGAACCGACGAGACACGAGAAGGCGAAATTTACACCCGTGTGTATCTCCTACAATTCAAATCGTTCGTGCCTAGAATAATTCTTTCGGAAAACTTTACAGTGGGTGATATTAGATAAAAGATATCTTTATTATATTGACTTTTAAACATACAGACCTGAATTTAAAATGAATTGTTAAAAAAAAAAAGATGTAGGAGTTTCCTTTTACCCTCACTCCAAATTACCCTTAGAAGCTGCTCCACATTCCGTCGTTCCGAAACCTCCTTTGATCCGCGTTTAGAAAAAAAATCATCCTAACTTTTAATTGAACAACTAATTTACAACAAATGGAACCAGCGAAAATAATTAAACAAAAAAGCCCAGAAACATCCCCTAGCAACAGTGCGGCCCCGAACTCTAAAAGGGTTTGTGACGCAAACCATAGCGGTCGTTTTTCGCGAAATTTGGCTTTAAGGTATTATGCTGTAAATCTTTCGTCGTTTTAGGAAAATCGCATGATGACATATTGTACGAATTCCGGAAAGGGGATGTTGACGGAGAGGGTGGGCGGCGAGGACGGGACCTTAACTACTACCCACACGCGTCTGCGAAGAGAATGATCAATTGGCATCAGCAGGAAATTTCGTAATGCAGCGTGTCATGAGTGCAAGAGAAAAAAATAGGCGTGAATGGGGTTCGGGTTCTTGCAAATGAATGACTCTTAGAAGTGTTGAAGTGACGGTATTTGCATAATTGATTCTTTGACGGCGGCGATTAGAGTGATTGTGGAAATGTACGATGTAGAACTATTTGTTTAAACACGTATTTTAAATGGAAATAATCAATGTAGACTGGCATGACCAGCCGATTTGGGTGGCATTGTATGCTTTGGTTCATACATATACATTATTCTAAAAATGAAGTCTTAAGTGAAGTTATAAAATACTAAAATACATGTGATCACTTTTTTAAATAAAGATTTATTTAATAATTCATGACACTCATAAACACATTAATTTTAATATCTACAATGTATGATGACGTCATTACCTTCATAAAGAGATGAATCAATATAATTTTAATCCTGTAATCTCTAAACTGACATTAGTGTCTTTCCACAAAATGTTCATTTAGTGGATTCTAAGACAAAGATAAATTTGAGTCAATGTCAATTCCAATAAAGAATTACAGAGTGCAACAACGTTACATTCGTTTAAAAATATACTTCTAAGCATACTAGTGTGGTAACAACACTTTATTAATTTGATCGATTTTGGCCCATTGACACTAAACCGATTTAGCTTTTATTTTAGAGAAAATAGTGTACAACTTGCGATTAGATTCAGTTAAATCGCACAAATAACTGTTCTAAATAACCCAAGAAATGTATACTAAATAAAAGTGATTGAGAATGGACAGCTGGGTTAATACATTATTATTGTTTTGCAAAGTTCTCACTCGTAAACGTAAAAACGCTTATAATACACTAGTGAATAAACAACTTTTACCGTAATATCTGCTCCATGATCTTTCAAGATAAATCTCTATTAGATTAAATTGTCATCCTGGCGGATTTACTGTAACCTTCGTTTTTAATAATGGGTTCAAAACACTTCTAAGCTACAATGAACTGCAATAAAGTTTTCAAAAATATCAAATATTGCAATTCATTTAGAAATCTGTCCTCAAACCTACTCTTTTGTCAGATTCTAATAAATTTATAGTGTTGACCTTTAAGAAATTTTATTATGTTGCTGTTTGCTTTTTGGAGCACTTCTTAAGCTTTTAATCATTCAATCTAGGCAGGAAAGTACCTTCAAGTGTGGTGTTTGAAGTTATAAAAAAAATAGTCGATACAATTTAAACATATAAAATATTAAAATTATCTATTCATAAATGGAAAACGAAAAATTCTAAAAATATAAACGAAAATAATACTTTTTTTGACAAATAAGCTTAAAAATGAATTCTTTGGCAAATTGCCTTTGCAATTTGCTTAAGGGTAGTTTTCAATATGTAGGATTTTAATTATCAAATTTTTTCAATTTGATTTTATTATTTATATATTAATATTATTTTATGCTTTATATGTTTACTGCCACTGTTATTAATGTTTTGATACATTTTTCTGCCTTTGGAGCGATATTTTCGAGCCATGAATCCTGTTTCTATTAATCCCACTTACTTGGATCTAAAAAATCATTTACAAAACAAATCGTAAACATGTATATTTAATTTTTTTATTCGATTATGTTATATCAATAAAAAGACAAAACAGTGGCGAATTTTTGGAAAAATCACTCTGGTCACTTACTTCCGATTAAAGATTCACACAAAGTGTTGCCATCTACAGATGACATGTCCAGACAGTGCCCCCCTATCAAAAAATTTCGTAACTGTCAATATATCCTGCAGGGACATCAAAAAAAAGTATACAGTATTGCCACAAGTCGATATGTATTTCATTAGAATTAACAGAAACATTAACGTAAAAAAATTATCCAATGGAAAGTCCAGTTTTTCTTTCTATTTAGAACCTAGTTTTTATTAACTCCGATTTACGGTATTACGTAATACAACAGCATCTATTTCTAACTTTTACACTATCTAATGTAATTAGAATAAAATAAAATACTTTGGATACTAACGAAGTCCAACAAGCCACGTGTTGTTGGAATCGCGAAAACTGAATCAACCTAAGAATATAATATTATCATTCTTATCATTACATGTATTTTTTTTGTTTTTAATTGTTATCATATCTTGTTTCGTCAGTTATTGTCATTTTATCTGTTTTTTTCTAATTGTCAACAAAAAAACCTAAGACGACTAGTTATTTAAAATTAAGATATAAAAGTAAGAGATTTTGTCCCACGGATGCATTATACAGAGGGCTAAAAGTGACTTTTCCCTCATGTATAATAAAACTTTTTTTCGTAATTTACCAAATTTGTTAATTTATTTACTTCTAATGAAATCTTAAGCCTTGCCTTAAATGTAAAACCGAACATCCTGTATTATCAATAAATGTCAAAGACAGCATATAAAGCTACTTTGAGATTGTTGATACTACTGATACAGATTATAAATTAATGAATTTATAGAAAATACTGAAAAGAGTAGTGCAAGTTTTAAACAAATTATACGCCAATTCGTCTATCGACCACAAATATTTATTATCAATATCGTCCAACAAATGCTATGGACTGTAAATTTCGAAATATCAACTTTGAATGTTCATGTATCAATAAATTGTCACTCCATTTAAAATCCCATCACACTAAACAAATATCCACAACGCACAAATACAAAACTAAATCAATCGTGAACTTATATTCAATAAAAGAAGTAAAAAAAAGCTAAAACTCAGTTTGCGAACGTAACTCAATTGGCCGTAGCCCTAAGATATAGAAAGTTCACGGTTACAAAACTGTCTAGAGAATTAACTTCAACAAAAACAAACATTCATTTTGAAGAACGTAACGAACTAGAGTATTAATTACCCCTTTTCAAGACCACTGCCGGCACAATTTTGCCATAAAATTGAAAATGTTCATATAGCCATTTCAGAACGTTCCACCGTAAAAATACGACACAATACAATTTTCAATCAATTACTACAGAACAAAAGCTAAACAAACTTACACAAAGTAATGAAAATAAAAAAGTTTGCGGGTATCAGCTGTCGGAATGGAACAAAGTCATCGAGAAACAAGTTACGAAGTTATTACACCGCATTTCCCCTGACACGTTGTTTTCCACGTATTTTATGGCTTATCAATTTGAATGGAATATAATATGGATGCTGTTAAACCCTAAACTAGAACACCGACATAACCACCAAGAGCAAAGATATATAAAATGTTGCAAAAATAACGACTGCGATCCCTTTCCGTGCGAATTATTTATAATCTGGAATTTTCTTTATATCTGCTAATTAACACCACGAATGAAAAAAATGTTAATATTCCGTGACCGTTGTGTCACACGCAACATGGATGCATTTTTGGCATAACACCAAGCGTCTCGAGCTGAACTAATTAGACGCTATTCTATTTACAAACAATAACAAAACTGTTGAGCAAGATAGCATGAATAATCCTCGCCCAGATAATTAGAGTTCTACTGTAAACTCATATATCTATCATAGGCTTAATGCATTCGGAGAGTTATTGGTATCATCAACCACTTGACAGATAACTAGAGATAGTCAAATTGCAACAACGTGAAGATCGTACCAAAATACGCAAACAAAACATTTTGTTTCATATGCTTACGCAGTTTCCAAAAATTAGTCGACTATGAAACAAAATCTTTTCAAACTGAAAGAATTACTTGAAAATATTTCGAACTTTTGAAAGTTGAAAAAAGTATCGCAGATTTCAAAGCGTCTGAAATAAGAACAATTTAAAAATCAATCATTTTTGAATAAACCCAAGTAACTAATCCTTTACGTGTGGATTATACATCGTCAGTACAACGCAAATACATGAGAAAAACGCTTACGCTTGTTTTGGTAAACGTATCTACGACATGATAAATCTAATCAATCAATGAAAAATAAAACGTGAGTATTTCAACGTAAATGTTAAAATATTTATATTTATGCATTTTTAAACACAGCGTAATGTGATAGAAACTACTTTCTCTTGTTAGTTATACTTCACGTAACTTTAATATAATATGTAAAATACTTATAGGACGGAGGTGGGCTTTGGACTTGTAGTAAAAACGAGGCGGAGCCGAGGTTGCAAAAAATTAGGTGTTGTGGGTTTGGAAAAGATAAGGTTTCCAAAACACTAGACTGAAGAGGTGATAAGATGATAACGCATGATCAAGAATACATTAAAAATCATAGAGCAAAAACAATGACTAACACCGCAGATGAAAGAGAAAACTACCACAAAAAACGAAGACAAAAACACCGAATTTCCAGTAAAATCAGAACTTCACTAAAGAGAAAGAAAGAAATGTGATAAAAACAAAATGGAGAACCAGTAAAAGCACATTTTATGACAGTATAAATTATGAAATAAAACGACAAATTAAAATTCTATCACGTTTAATAGTAAATATGAAAGGAATATCCACAAAGAAAATTACAAAAAAAGACTATGAAGTTCTCCAAAGAACAGAACACTTTAGCTTAAAAACTACTGTTTTAGCACCAATCTGTTTATCCCAGCTTAAGTAGTCTAATTCAGCAATTTCATAAAAATGAATAACATTTACCGCCACCGTCTCCCCCGATTGAGTGTGATTAGTGAAGACCAACTAATGATTTTCTAGTCCGAAATGTGTAAAACTTTAATAGTTCATTATGGCACTGATCTTAAACATTGATTCATTTCGAGAGCAAGGATCTTACATTATCATCACAGCTTGAATTTGAACATTTATTCTGGAATTATTATTTTGATTTTTACCATAATATGTGCATTTTTGTGTTGTGTGGATTTGTTGCGACGACGTATTCTTGATGAACTCATTTTGATTTAATAATTAACTTAAATACTTGAATTAATGCAGAATTTAACTTCAAATAAATTCCTTGTTTGAAATTCCTGTTAGAGCATGGCATAATTTAATTTTGTTTGTTTTACTCATTTTGTTATCGTCAAAATTCTGGAGATTTTAACTTTAAGAAACATAAACGGACGGGATCGCGTAGCGGAGTCGAAGCTCTCAAATTGAGAGCTTTCTCTCCTTGCCATTTTCATGTGAATGTTCATCTAGAATACCGGATTTTCAGCCCTAGTGAATCAGGCTATCTAGTTGGCTGTGTCCTTTGGGGGATGGAAATAAATCTCAGGACTGCGACTGTTAATAAAAGGCGCAGAGCGTGTTGTGGCTGTGGTTAGGGCAAATGTACTTTCACGAGGAGACGCCCTTCGTACCGCTGTCGCTATGCGTCCTACGCTCGTACTTTGTTTTTTGCTAGATTGTCATAATTTAAATATGCAGCCACATCATCATAACTTTAAAGTTACTTTATAGACGACTTCCTATTTCTTTGTGGATAGAAATTTGTGATATTCAAATATTTGTCTCGATTTGTAATATTTTTACACTCTGAACACATCTACCTACTTGGCAGAGGATATTTTTTTACAGTGTTAAATTTGAAAAAACCTTCGCTTAATTTGTTTTGATAGTAAAGTGTGTTTGGTTTGGCGTGCATCATAATTTACAAATGTAAGGTTGGTTAGATGGTGGCGCAAAGGTTAAAAGTATATAGACAGAGCCCACTACGTCTGTTTTGTAAACTATATCAGAGTTCCGAGTTAAACATGTTAAAAATAAGCATATCCCGGGGAATCGGTGAAGAGACGTTAGCGAAAGTTGAGACGTTTAAAGTTGGCGATGCTTTCGCAATGAATCATCGAAGCTCGCGGAACGACTAGACGTGTGGGAGCTCACGATCTATAGTATAAATTAATGTTCTTAACCTTTCTTTATATCAACATTTCCAGCTTTTTCAATATTTTTCAAACAAATCAAAAGAGATATATGTTATGAGTATGGATTACGAAGTTTTTAGATAATGACAAAAAAACCTCCATCATTCTTAAAAATTAGAATGAAATAAAACAATGAAAAAACCTTACTCACCAACTCAAAAATCAGTTCTTTCTCATCTAAATGCCTCAATTCGTGCCTGGACCGCCTCTGCCTCCTTCCAGGCGTGGGACTGTTGGGTCCTCCCGTGACTTGATTTTCCGCCGAGCCCGTCAGGAACGTGGGTTGCCCATCGATGGTACTAATCATCGGTTTGAGGAGTCCGCCCCTCTCGAACTCGTGCGCCGAAATCTTCCTGACGGGCGTCGTGGCGCCCGATCCGGCCCTGGATTGGTTATGTGTGGGTGACGCCAGTTCGACGCTGGACGACGTCGGCGTCGCGTGCGAAACCAACCACGAATCCACCACTTGCCTGGTGGCTTTCCTGCCGAAAGATAAGGAGGGTAATTTTTTTTTTTGAGAAAAAACCTAATTAGTATTATACGGGGGCGCCGGGTCTTAATAACGTATGTATGGTGCGGCGGAACGCGGGCACTCTTCTGAATTCTGAACGGTCTCATTTCCTTTTCCTCGACTTGGAATTTCGTGTACACGCGGTCCGCATATTTGCCTAACGCTGCCGTCGCACCCTCTCGGAAAGAAAAATTTATCGCACGAGGAAGTGATCGATAGAAAACGAGGAGTTGTTGAGCTTTTTAAATGGAAGGCGTATTTATTACAGAGAGGGTTCATAAATGTTAAGTCATGACACTGAAAGGCAAACGAGAGCCAGTTATGGATTGTTACTACCATTTAAAATTTAAATCCATAGACCTGGTACGGAATTCTGACAACAAAAGCCACTAGTAAAAAAAAAATACGACACGAGTTTGTTATGCCGTTAAAGGGCGTCAGACAGAACTAATAAGAGGTCGACATTTAATCTTATTGCGTACACAAATGTAACTTTTAACAGATTTTCGGATACTTTCTAACAAATGATAAAAAAAACGCTCAAATTGGAGAAAAAATTATATTTTCTGAGAAATTTTTCAATTGTGATCTGTCACAACCTCTTTTGAATATTTCATCTCTTTTTCGATTTATACACATTTTGACAATTGACCAAATTTCTAAGGTTTAATGTGGCAAAAATATTTTTTAAATTAGAAGAACTTTAATTACGTCACATGAGGTTATTTGCTTTGTGAGCTACTATACTACCGTATAATTAAACTCTTCAAAATTTCGTAAATTAACATAATTGCAGCTAAAAAATGGGTCCGTTATTTAGATAGAACCTCCTTCGCCCCTGAAGCATAATTCAACAAATCTCGGTACTTCAAAAATTACAAAATTTAACAGCCGGAAATTTTATTTTTTTTATGATAAACCCTATAAGTTAGATAACTATAGGTAATACTAATCCATAATTTTTGCGCTGCGACCTGAACGGACTACTCGATACGCCGTCGAGCTAAGCGCTCTGCTTATATTGACATAAGTTTTAATTTGGATTTTTTTTTTGGGAAAATCTAGATGCTTAGAGGAGAAAGTCAAGGCGGATTCATAAACCACAAGTACTGGAGTATCATAAATGTGTGTGTTTGTGGGGCTCATTAGATTGATTAATTTTGGTTGGCGTTTTACGATCTACACGAAATCCCTAACAAACATATTAAATTTGACAAAAATCTACAGACAACAGACAAACGAATATTTTTATCTACGCATAGTGTATTCTGCATTTGTATTTGAAATAGTTTTGAATCAATTTTATCAATCATTTTTGGGATTTTGTATTGAGTGCTTTGAGAAAAGCTCCCAGAATCGATCTCTTGTTTTTAAATCCTCTTACTAGTATCATACGTAAACACAGGTATCAACGAGAAAAACTCTTGCTAATTGTCGTTCTTCTCAATACAATTCTCTCAGTTTTCGCATTAGCTAGAAAAAAATTCAGATGGAAGAAATTATTATTCACGTAATACAAAAAGAAATTTTACATTCCTCCGGCTCAGCCCACGAAATAAAATTAAACCAGAAAAACAGTCGGTAAAACGTTTTACAGCTTCAAGTTAAAATATGAGCATTATCGTTTCATGTTTCAAAATTGTTTTTTTTTTACAAAAATAATTCGTGTTTTCATAATTTTAAGGAACTACAGTTACAATTTTCATATAACCGGTAAAGTTGTCAATGTCAGTAAAGAATAAACACTGCTAAACAAGATTACCTAAAGCTGTTTAAACAGAACTTCCCTCGCTATTAACACACTAAAAACAAGTCCAGTTTCCTAAATAAATTGTAAAATTTTATTCCGAAATTTTTATTTTCTTATGTTAACGTCTCTACAAAAAAGTGATTGTAGGTTATTTCAACAGAACTCCCTTCGCCCTTGAAGTACAATAAAATATATCCAGCTTTTTTGAAAAATTACTAAATTTGATTGCCATTTTCTAAGTTCACATAGAGATATATATGTAATGTCCAAGTAAAGGTAAAAAACGTGCTACGCGTATGTTTCAAATGATTTTTTTTCTTTCAAAATGTTGTGATAACGTCATAACATTTTTGCAAGGGCACGTATATCCATTTAAATAATTGGAAGTCAGTCATTCTCAAAGGAATAAAAAACTCTATTCTCTCTGTTTCGTATATGTGATTAATCGGGACGTGTTTCGAGGGCTCACTGTTCTCATCATCAGTCGATTAAAAATAGGACTAGACTTAAAGCTTTTTTAACCCTTTGTATATGCATTTGGATATGTGCAGTGTAATAATAATAAAAACAGTATTCTATTCCCAAATTTTTGAGAAAATGGACTGGGCCGTTCCTGATTTTATCAATAAAATAAATTAAGTCATTCATTAATTTTTTTGAGTCACCTTGTGTAAACAACTCTAGTAAATCGCAAATATAAACTCATCATATTTTGGACATTTTCTATAGGATTTATTAGGCAAAATTTTAATATGACGTCATCAGTTTTTTGAAGGGGATAAACAGACATATTTTGATAACAAATTTACCATCCTTTCAATAACTTTTAAACGTCTGCAACATTTCAAAGCATTCGGTTTTGCAGTTTCTGATTTTATCAATAAAATAAATTGACTCATTCGTTAATTTTTTTGAGTCACCTGTACAAGCAGTTTTAAAAAATAAATAATAAATCACAGCATCATATTTTACAGATTTTAGGTAAGGTTTATTAATTTTTGAGTTGACGTTAATAGTTTTTAGGGGGTCGTAAACGTATACATTTTAATTAACGATCTGCCAAATTTCAGATCAAATTGTTTGCAAGATTTTAGAACATTCGATTTTGAAAATTGAATTGTAAAATATTGTGATACATAGGTTAGTGGAGATGGTCAGACAAATTTTTGTTAGTGTTTTACCGTCTACACAACATCCTTAATATAACAAAAATTTGACAACAATCGGTCCAGTAGCTTAGAAGATTTTCTGTTTAATAAAAATCGACACAGACGTGGACAAACGGCAGACAGACAGAACAGACAGACGGAAACGAGAGATGTTTTCGTATTCTAGGGTCATGAAACATTGAGAAAACATATTAATCCATAGATTTTAAACGAGATTTACTAAGCAATCTTTCCAGGTGACGTCCACAAAATTTTGGTGGGGATGAAGAGATAAATGTTGTTTAGCATTGTACCAGACTGGCAGGGGGGTATTAAGATCGGTGAACCCCCGGCTGCAGAAAAAATATTGGCCTCTCAAGAAAAGAGATGGAAAATAAAAAATGACGTTGACCATATTTTAAAATAAGATCATTAATGTTCTGTTTCCAATAAAATTTAAACATAGTATGTCTATGTGTATGTAATATAATTAATAATTATTATATATTATACTGTAAGTATAATAGGAGTAACAATAAGAAATTTAAACGAAAAAAATCATAGAATTTGACTTGAAATTAAAATTACAATTGAAAATATTAACTTTCTCTTCACAATCAATAATTTTAAGAAAATCGATCTGCAATTATATACTTACTTATAAAATAGCCACATTATTTAGGCTTTCCTCTAACATTGAATTTCTTATAAAATTTTTTCATCTTTTTAGACAAGAAAATGACCATTCCCCATATGCGTTTGAAAAACAAAATTTTCAAAATAATTTCCACACCTGGGAAAGTTCCTTACATATCTATAGCTTTTTTGTATATGTTATTAATTGATCGTTTATTTTTTTCATACAAAAAGATTAAAATTTGTTTCAACTCATCTTTAAAATTACTTGAAATAATGTCATCTCTATAAAACAAAAACACGATCAAACACAGCCATGGGCTTTTGTAAAGTTTGTCTTTGATCGTTGCAACTTTAGCTCAAACTTTCAAATTGACGGTAACCTTACAAAACAAAGTTCTATCTAAGACAAAGCTTCAAAAATCCATGGCTGTATTTGATCGTGTTTTTAATTGCTCTCTTGGTATTCTTTCTTGTCTTCTACACGAAAAACCGTAACATTTCTTATAACGTTTTCACAGATTTTCTGCGTTTGTTCAGTTCTACTCATTACATAAAGTAGTCTTTGAAAAAAAATTCTTTTGATTTTCTGTATATTTTCGCTTGTGTGTTGTTTATAGGAAAACTCAAACTGCTAAACATGAGCAAAACTTTTGTGAACTAATTTTCAAATTTATTTATTATGTACATATTTCTTTTTAATATATCTAACACTGAATATTATGCAACAGCGTTCCTAATTTGAATTTTTATGATTCTTTGCAACTGTCAAACTAGTCGAAAAGTGTAATTGATTGCTTAATAATTAAAAAAATACCAAAGATTCAAACAATCACAAATATATTATGCTCAAACTACGAGACCCAGGGAAAACGCAACTGAAAAAAAAATTAACACAGATCTGTGAAAGTGTTGTTTAAATAAACATTTAAGACACATACATTAAATAAAATAAAAGAGTGGCAAACCTCGTATCACAAAAAGAAAGTAATTAGTATAAACGCTCCAGAAACACCACTATCAACAACTCTAGAACTTGACCGATTTAGAATGTGGTGTTATCTTAAATCCCTTCGAATTTAAAGCTGTCCGTTTACGAAAATTGGAGAATATGACGTTAGATCAGGAAGTTTTCTGATTATAATGTGGCATGGAAATAGTTTTCACGTGCTTGATTGAGCTTATTATTGTTTACTAAATTATCTTATCAACGTCACAGATATGAATACTTGCGCACAAATATAATGCTTTTATTACTGATGTGAACCTGACCACACAACCCCCGCTAGCCGCACACAGAAAACTTCCGGTCGGGTTTTAACGCTATAAATTAAATTGTAAATCTGAAACGTACTCGTATCTGGACAAAAATGCGCTGCATTCTGCACCGCATCGTTATTCAAAATTCCAGCGACAAATCGTATTCGCACCGGCCTCCAGTCCAAAAGGAAGCCAAACAATCGGACAAGTGTAAAAATTCCCGTTCGGATATTGAGGAATTGCTGAAATTCGATTAATAAAAGCGTGTGACGCTGAATTTAAATTCGATATTTCACGTGAAAATTTCCCGACGACAGACAAAATCCAATGTAAATAATATGCAAATTGATTGGGTGTTATTGAAACGTGCACGTCACTGATTGCGGACGTCGACCCACGGGCGACATCCCTTTCCAATAAATCACACATTTTTTTAATCTGCTAAATGTCTTTCGGAACAAAACGGAAATGTCTGATTAAGTTAGATTTGACTTTCGGATTCCTAAATTACAGGCAGCCAGAACAGTCGATATTTTCATTAATCTTTTTTTTATATGTACGCTCTTTTCACGTGTAGACGCCCCGATTGATCGGAATCACTTTGCCTCCAATCTAGAACAATTAAATGAAATGTTTTAAATGAAGGATTCTGAACTGTGATAAAAAAAGTTATCGACCGACAACAAATCGTCCTCGCAGTCGCGGTTAACAACCATGTTCTCTAATTTAGTCCACGCAGAACCCTGCATTGAAAAGCAAAAAACGCTTTCTGTGCTGTATTTTCCTCGAGTGAAAATGGGTTAAATTTTTTTGTGTTTATATTCAAAACAAACAGTCTAATTGTTTGCTGTTCTAGAAAATTAATATTTCCGACTTTTTCATTTTAACGTACCAATTTTCTGCAAGGTTATTCCCAAGCGTATCTAAATACACCTGTTCCGATTAATAGATAGTTGTGTAACGTATTAACTTGTAATTAGTCTTAACATGAAACTCATTTGTGAAGCTAAAATGCTGATTACTCGGGAAATGTTATTATCCGGCGCCTTTGGATTTTATGAATAAGATTGTGACGCAAGAATCGGCGTTATCGAAAAATAAATGCTGCAGATAAAATATTACGTGTTGCTGAAAATTTCGCTAGAATACGCTCTAAAATCGCTGAGATAGAAGAATATTTTTACGCCCCTTGAGAAATTCGGGCACTGGAAAATTTAGCAACGATATTTACGAAACGTCTAAATTTTCCCAAACGGAATAAACCATTTTAATATTATTAATTTATAACAATTATCTCATGTCAACAAAGAAAATTAAATTTTCCGACGTTGGCGTGATTAACTCAACTCACAAACACTGAAAATTAAAAACACATCAAATGTTTTATTAATGCTACAACAGAATCCCGTAGTATATACATCCTACGTTTCATCATTTTACGTCTTGAATATTCGTCACGCAATTATCTCTGCAGATATATTATTTGTAACGCTGTGTATTCTACCAAACTTTTTACTACAGTAAGTATATAAAGGCTGTTCGTTTACAAAATTCATCAAGTTGCCATTGATTTTTCAGCTGTTATTGGTCATCTAATCTAAACTCACTTTTCCGGTGATTACATGTGAAATCTTTGAAAAACCCGTCCGCATTACTAGAAAAGGTCGGTACTTACTTACCTGCATACTGCCAACTGTATTAAAATTGTATTATCATTAAGATTTTCACCAATTACCACGAAAAAAGCAGCAAAAATTTTCAAATATGCATAAAATGCACTTGACATTAAAATATGCAGAATATGCACAACTATGCATTTTGCATATTATCCGAGCCTTACTTATTAATAAAATATTAATGTGTAAAAAAAGTAATTTTTCTTGCATATTTTGCATAGAAGTACTTCTTGCATATTTTAGCAATTTTTTGCATATAGATGCGCATATTTACATGTTTTTTTCTGCATATAATTCCGCGCTTTATGATTTCTATATAACAAAAAATGTGGCAAATCAGGCTCAATTGAAGGTCATTCTCACGCACTGACAGACAAACCAATGTCAATGAATCAGTTTATGCAACGTGAAGCAAAAATTTCATGCCCTACTTTTGTCTAAAAACGTCCTGAACGGTTTGTAAGTAGCATTTTCCAAAAAGCAATTTATTTCGCGTAGACTACAAGTCTTCCATTTACACGCGCTGCGTCTGACATGTAAATTAAATTAACATCGTTCTGTGATTCCTTAATGTCCACATGAGTATTGTCAAAGATAAAGGGGATTCGAAAAACCTTGTTATCACGATGCGGCGTTCAAACTAAATGTGTAAAAAGCCGTTTTCTTAAAGATTTCCTGTCACCTTTCATCCTTCAACGCAAAAAGATAACATCTAAAAAACTGGAGAAACACACACTTCGACGCACAATAAAAAATTATAACTGACACCAACACGTTCTGATATCAGTTGACATCCATCCGCTAAAATATAGCAAGACAGTATCTTTGCACACCCGTCCAACCCACCTCCTTACTTTTTTGAGCCAACCTTGATAATTTATCAATTCCGCTTTTCCTCTCCATGAATTCTCTTTCGGTGATCCGGAACCGGAAAAAGCGCGCCAACAGACTTTGTTTTCAATTTATCAACGTACTTTTAAACGGAATGGGCGGACAGAGGGCGTGCTGTTAAATGTACTAGAGAAAGAGCCTAAAATGGAACAACCACAACAGGATAATTTCGTTTTGTAATAACATGTCCACTGATAAACAAATTATCGTCTTTTGGTTACACTCGGATAGCTGACGTTTCTATATTTGCGTTGCACACTAGAATCAGCTCTCACAAAGATTAAAACTGCACTTCCAATACAGATGCTTTAAAAGTCCAACGAGACGGAACTGATTAATTTTCATACCCTGAATTAATGACACGTCTGCTTATGAATACAAACGAGGTATACATATTAAAATACTTCCTAACCATGCGGAATTTCTGCACTTTCAATTATTCAATTCAATTATTATTCAAACCAGAATAAAACAAATATTCAAAAAACCATGGAAATGGAACACTTGTAAAGACACAGTTACACAGTTATAGTTTGACGAGTCCAGACAACAATTAATATATGAAACACACCGTGTTTACAACATAGTTTATGTTTCTTGAGTCATAAAAATCGACATCCAACATTTATAGAAACCTCGACTCTGATTCTTCCCACTGGTTATTTACTCCAGTGTATACGGACCGGTTTACCCTTATACATACAAAAAAAAAAACTCGTTATTCAAGAACATCCGACTATTCACTATCCCCGATAATACCAAGCACCGCAATTTACATGTTGACTCAGCAAACTACAAAGATTAATCACCCCCGCAATTTGCTGTTACCCCGTGATTTTACTTTAGATCATTTCCGGCGATGCGGAACCGGAAAAGCGCACCGACTTGGTTTTCAATTTATCAACGTGGAGTTCTTAAAACGACATCAGAGCGCCGACGGAGATTCCTCCAGCGGGATATGGCGCGACGGATCGAGATATTAAACCGACGGATACCGAAAGCTATTAAGACCCGGCGCTTCGACGCCGCGAAATTCCATGAGGCGCCGAGGTCATACCTGAGAAAATAGTCCTGGACGAAATCGGGATGTTCGTCGAGCCACGATTCCATCCGTGCATATTCTGGATCGTAACAGTGGCCCCCATGTCCGGCATGGTTGCTGTGTCTTTGGAGTCGATCTCGGTGTGCAGACTCCGAGCTGGGGACACCCCCCTCTGCCGGCATCCGACAGTCGTCGCCACTACTGCGTAAATGCAAGCCTGGAACAAGGAGAATTCAAAATGAGTGATAAGTAGACGACACGGCATAATCTAGATCTAGAATAAGGTTTGTTGAGTGTAGGGAGCGGAGCTAGAGTACTTCAGGGTTCTAATTTAAGACCGATGTTGTTTTAGACATATAGTAGCGACATCGTAGATTATCCCTTAATAATAATTAATAAATGTTGCTTAAGAAAATCAATTAAAATAAACGATGTCTCTTTTTCATGTTTATACTGATATGTAATTTGACAGACCAAATTAAAAGAAGAAAATGTGATCAAAATGAGCATAAATAGTGAAATAAATGATTACAAAATTAACCAATTTTATTATTACTACACATTTCTGTTATTATCAGTATGTTATTTTGGAACAAGTGGAATTCCTAGAATATAAGGTTTAAGGAAGCAATATGAGAACGCGATTAAGATAAAAAAAATGGTCTTAGGCTATTTAGAGTACAATTTAAACAACTTTTTCTAAAATTTATTTTGATTTTTAGAATTTATTTTTTTTTTGTAACCCTTATAAATTAAAATAAAGATACTTTATGTGTGTGGTAAAGTAAAGGTAAAAAGACATGCTTTTCGTAAGTTTGAACAGAATTTTTTTATTTATATTCTAGATATCAAAGAGTTAATCTTAGTGGGTCAAAATTAGATCTGTCCGGTTATATTTGGTGTACCGCAAGGAAGTATACTTGGGCCTCTTTTATTCTTAATCTATGTAAACGACTTGCCAAGATGTATAACGCATTCTGATTTGATTCTCTATGCAGACGACAACCTTGAGTTACTCAAATCATGATTTCTAAAACATTATCCATAATATTTTGAAGGATTTGTAATCAAGCAAGGAGTTGGTTACAGACTAATAAATTATATACATATAAATAAGGATAAAACAGTCACAATCAATTTTACTTTGAAAAATATTACCGATGAGAATAAAAATTTTCAAAATATAGCAACCAAATTTTTAGGAATTTATATTGATACTACTAAAACATACAGAATACATAGCTGGAAAATTGTGTAAAAACATATACTTAATGCGGAATCTTGCAGCCAGTGTTCCGAAGCATACACTTAATGTAGTCTATTTCGCTCTTGTACAATTACACTAAAATTAGTTTTTAAATATTCCAAATTTTTATTTTCACAATTATTCATTCCTTCAATTTTTTTTTCAAAATTTCGATTTTTTCAATTATTATACAATTTTGCAATTTTTCTACGATTTTTTAATTTTAAATTTTCCGATTTTGCGATTTTTCAATTTTTGAATTTTTGGATACTACGTCTTCAATTTTTTTATTTTACATTTTTAAATTTTGCAATTTTTCGATTTTGATTTAACAATTTTTCAATTAATGAATGTTTAAGTTGTTTAACTTTGTTTTATTCGTTTTTTGGATTTATAAATTTTTTATTTTTACAATTTCTGATTTACAATTTTTCAATTTGAAAATTCTTCTAAATATTTCTCAATTTTTGGTCATTTTAGTTTCCAAAACTTTGGTAATATTTGGACAAAATACATAAAAAAAATCGAATTTTTGGTAATTTTGATGACCTGAGGGTAGAGTTTGGTCAACTAGAAAATTCATCTGAGATGAATGTTTAATTTTTTTTACTGTATAGTAATATGGGGACACTGTTCGTCCGCGCTAAGACTCTTCAGGTTACAACGAAGAGCTATCAGAATTTTGGCAAGTATCACTTATAGGGAAGATTGCAGAATATACTTCACAATTTTAAAGAAATTTACTTTATCCTGCTTATTTATCTATAGGAGTTTAAGGTATTTATTAGATTATATGAATTAATATATCTTCATAAATTCATAGCACAGTATCCAATCCGACACAACTTAATCTGTTATCAAAACTTCAAACTAAAAAAGGCGAGAACTGGTTTTAATTATTTCTGCATTAAGTTTTATAATGTCATAACCTTCCACTTCAGGAACTCCGATAGTCATTAAAAAAAGCATCAAAAATATTTGTTGTTTACATCCTTTTACTCCATTGAGGAATATGTATATAATAATTTTTCAGATTTTGATATAACTTGTAATAATATACGAGTATAAATTAAGTTAGATAAGCTCTTAATTTAGGTAATGTATTTTCAGTTTCCCTGAAGCGTGTTAAAATGCTTTGTTATTATTATAATATCAAAAAAATAAAAATAATAATAGACGGCTCCTCTGCTATCGAGGACACAATTTTGCATTGACACAGAGGCATTATTCTAAGAAACCATAAACTCAGAGCATGGAGCGGTGACATTTGACGGTCACAATTTACGATTGTGCTTGAAAAAATATTTCTTAGTGTTTTGTAATCAAAGGGAAAACAAAAATTCATTCATACAAAAAAAAATGATGGGGTAGGTGGGCGGGGTTTATATTTTGCTATATTTTCTTAATATACATAGTATTCTTTTAACAACACGATACTCAAAAACATGTTTTTTATTTCTTGTAAAGAAATAAGTATTTTACACTTAAGGTGCCCCCTCGTGGCTCACTTGAATAAAAAAAATCATCACAATCGAGATAGGGCGGGTGGGCGGGCTTACATTTTTTCTTTTTGTTTGAATATATGTAGACTTCTTTTCAGAACATGAAACTTAAAACACGTTTAAAATGGAAAATTTGTGTAAGGAAATATCGATTTTGCAATTGGATTCCGCCCCGTAATTGCAAAATCCATATTTCCTTGCAAAAATGTACCATTTTAACCATGTTTCAAGTTTCTTGTTGTGAAAAAATGGCTATGTATATTAAGAAAAACAAGACAAAATATAAGCCCCGCCCACTCACCCCGTCACAATTGTGATGATTTTTTTATTCGTCGTGAGCCAAGAAGGTGGAGCTTAACTGCAAAATCTTTATTTCTCTACGAGTAATTAAAAACATATTTTTGAGTATCGTGTTGCTCAAAGAATATTATGTATATTAAGAAAAAATTAAAGCCGAAGATAACATTTTAAACGTGTTTTAAGTTTCTAGGAATAAAAAAATCATCACAATTGAGATGAGGTGGGTGGGCGGGGTTTATATTTTGCTGTATTTTCTTAATATACATCGTTTTCTTTGAACAACACGACACTCAAAAACATGTTATTTATTTCTTGTAAAGAAATAAGTATTTTGCAGTTAAGCTGCGCCCTCATGGTTCACTTGAATAAAAAAAATCATCACAAGTGAGATAGGGCGGGTGGGCGGGCTTACATTTTGTCTTTTTATTTGAATATGCGTAGACTTCTTTTCAGAACATGAAACTTAAGTTTCGAAAATGTCAAAAATTGGTCGAAATTTGAAAAAGCGGGGACCATTGGAAAAATTTCACTTTTAAAAAAGTTGTCTAAAAATTGCGAAAAAATTCAGGGACGTAGATCTCGACATGCTGGTTACAAAAATATAGCGTGTTGATGGCCACGGAGCAACATTTTCGAAAGAATCGGTACGAAATGAGAATTTTTGATAATTTCTAAAAATTTCTATATTTCATTGGTCGATTCCGGAAAAACGGTTGCAGTTATCAAAGAAACGATGCCGGAAGTGAGTTCTAGAGCTCGAAATCTACAAGAAAATGTATTTAGTTAAGTTTCGAAAATGTCAAAAATTGGTCGAAATTTGAAGACCATTGAAAAAATTTCACTTTTAAAAAAGTTGTCTAAAAATTGCGAAAAAATTCAGGGACGTAGATCTCGACATGCTGATTACAAAAATATAGTGTGTTGATGGTCACAGAGCAACATTTTCGAAAGAATCACTACGAAATGCGAATTTTTGAAAATTTCTAAAAGTTTCGTTATTTCAACGGTCGATTCCGGAAAAACGGTTGCAGTTATCAAAGAAACGATGCCGGAAGTGAGCTCTAGAGCTCGAAATCTACAAGCAAATGTGTTTAGTTAAGTTTCGAAAATGTCAAAAATTGGCCGGAATTTGAAGAACCATTGGAAAAATTTCACTTTTAAAAAAGTTGTCCAAACATGCGAAAAAATTCACGGATGTAGATCTCGACATGCTGATTCCAAAAACACAGCGTGTTGATGGTCACGGACAGAGGACGTCAGAAGTGCTGTCGTGAATAGAGAAATAGACGGCAAGAAAGTAAGATAGATGATACAAGACAGAAAAGGTTGGAAAGAAGGATGAAAACCCTAACTTAGACGCTAAGTCAACTTCCCTCCACCTTACACCCCGTAGATAAGTAAAACTAAAGTTAAACAATCAGTTCACTTATTTATAAAGAAAAATATTGTAAATCAGATTAATAAGCTAAAAAAAAATACTCTATGTTTAAAATGGAACACTCAAAGGAAGCCTCAGCAAAGAGTAATATGGTTCAGTGGAAGAGGGTCTACTAAAATAGAAGATCAATAGTCACAAAATTTTATGAAAACGGCAACAAGACTAGTCAGGATTATTTAAATTTCGTCGACGATAAATTTTTGGATACCCTTGACCCTCTTAAAAATATTTATATAAAAACAAGTACTCTACTATAATAATAATAATAATAATAATAATACTTTATTTCCATAGACTACATACAGTGTGGAAAATCATCAGAACATGAAAGACAATTAGATAAATATATACAGACATCTGCTACACAAAAAAATCTTTTACACAGTATAAACATCTAGTAACAAGATAGTCTCTCAATTTGCGCCTAAAGGCGTCAATAAATAAAAGATTTTTTATTTCGTTGGGTAATTTATTATACAAGTCAAGTCCTAAAGAACAAAGTGAATTTTTTGCAACGTTAAATTTTTTTGTAGGAACGTGGAATAAGTTCTTTTGTCTAGTGTTTTTGTCGTGGACTTCACTATTTTTAACAAATTTTGTTTAATTTTTATGTACGTACATACAACATTCAAAAACATACAAGGACGGTACAGTCATTAAATTATATTTTTTGAAAAGTTCGCGACATGAGTGCCTTTGAGAAACATTTAAAATTGTACGCAAAATTCTAC